TTTCGTTATAAAATTTTTTTTTGATAGAGAATTTCGTTAAGAATTTTTTTTAATAGGAGGGAGTTTCCTTGATAAAGAATTTCTTTTGGGAATTTTTTTTAATAGGTGAAAGTATTTTTTGACGGAGGATTTTATTAGAGAATTTTTTTTAATAGGGGGATTGTTTTTGATAGAGAATTTCATAAAGAATTTTCTTAATAGATTTCGCTGAGAATTTATTTATTTTTTTGATAGAAATTTCATCATAGAATTTTTTTTTGATAGATCATTTTGTTAGTGTAAATTTTTTAACAGGGGAGATTTGTTTTTGAAAGAGAATTTCGGTAAAGATTTTTTTTTAATAGGAGAGGAGTTTTTTTTTTTGGTATAGAAATTCTTTTGAGAATTTTTTTTAATAGGTGGTAAGAATCTTTGAATTTTTCTTTAATCGGTGATATTTTTTTTGATTGAGAATTTAATTATAGAATTGTTTGTTGAAAAATTTTTTTATTTTTTTGATGGAGAATTTTGTTTAGAAATCTTAATAGAAAATTTTATTGAAAATAGTTTTTTTTAATAAGTGTATCGAGAATTTTGGCTTGAAATTTTTTTTTAATAAAGAATTTTATTTGAGATCTTTTTTTTTATAAAAAATTGATTGAAAATTGATTGGAAAATTTTTTATTAAATTTACAATTTTAATAAATTTTTACTCCTCTTCATCTTCCCATCACTTCTTTTCATCTCCCATCGCTCCTTTTCATCTCCCATTACTCCTCTTCGTCTACCATCACTCCTTTTTGTCTCCTATCGCTTCTTTTCGTCTCCCATCACTTCTTTTCATTTCTTATCATTCCTCTTCATCTTCTTTTTGTCTCCTATCACTCCTTTTTATCTCTCATCACTACTCTTCGTCTCCCATCACTCCTTTTCATCTCTCATTATGTCCCATTTCTCCTTTTTGTTTCCTATCACTTCTCATTACTCTTTTTTACTCCCTTTCATTTTTTATTACTTTCCATTACTCCATTGTTATTTCATTTTTTATTAGCATCTTTCTCTTTGATCATTGTAATTTACTTATCTTTTTATTTATTGTTATTGTTTCTTTTATTTGTATCACTTCATTAAAAATACGGTGATTTTTTTCTTTAAATCGTAAATGTGTGAAATTTTAATATTTGCAAATAAAATTTCAATAGATAAGATTATTTTGAATAAATATGTTTGCAAAAAAATTTTTTTAAAATATCTTTTGCGATAAAATTTTATATTGTACATCATGTGACATATTTGAAAAAAAAACCAGGTGACAATCACCCAGGCGACGTTTAGCAATTCCCTTAAATTTTTACTATTTTACTATTTTAACTTATAATAAACTGAAATCTGCCATTTTTTTATGCTTAATTTATTCATTATAAATAGAAAACTTCATTTGTTTATTCATTTTATTTAAGAAAAAGCTAGATTTATTTATTTTAACGAAGCTTGTTTATAAAAGAGTTTGCATATTCATAAATTGTAAGTCATTTTTTTTTACAATAACTTTCACTTAAAAGATCTTTCAAAAGCATATCAATTTCCCCCATGAAAATGACCTTTTGTTAATATCTTAGATTTAGATTATAGATTTAGGAATAAGAATAGTGAATCCTAAATCTAAGAGTATACCCACCCTTCCTCCTTATGAATCGATGGCCTATATATATTTTTTTTCTTCATTTTTTTTCATTCATAAAAAAAATTAAAAAAAATTTTTGTTACTCTATAATCTATATATTACGCAATATTTACGCAAAAATAAGAATTATTAAAAAAAAAAAAATTTTTTTTTATATAAATCAAGATTTTCTTATATAAAAAAAATTTTTTTTACATGTTACTCAACATGTTATGCAATATTTACACAAAAATAAAATTAAAAAAAATTTACGTATTACTCAAAATATACGTATTACATATTATAAAATTTATCAATTTATATAAAAATTAAAAAAAAAATGTTACCGCAATATAAAATTTATTTTTTTCATAAAATTCAAAATTAATATATTTCGCAATATTTTTTGCAACATAAAGTTTATTCTTTTCATAAAAATTTTACACATTACTATTTTGTGATATTTTCGCAATATAAAATTTATTTCTTTATAAAATTCTTCACAAAAAAAAATTTAAAATCAAAAGAAAACAAAAACTGATCTTTATTTGTTTCCTATCTCTTTTTTTTTACTTGATCGAATTTCATAATTTACATAAATAAATGAATCAAATAAATTCATGTAAAAAAACCGGTGCAAAAAAAAAAATTTTTTTTTCGCTTTATTTATTTTTATTTTATTACTAGAAGAGTAGTATAACCAAAACTATTACAAATTAAAGTAAGACAACATTTACATGATGGACAACTAAAATACGTGTATAGAATTTTGGAAATTTATCCCCTACGGGACCTCACCCTTCGGTCAAACTATTCAAAAAGCTAGGACTACGCTATTTCGCTTATCCATAAAGGTATAAATGAATAATTACAAAAGAGCATATATGATCAGATGATGTGGCTATAATACAAATATTATACATTAATCAAAATATAAATTATTTCTGAATATGTAAGTTGTTTACGATATAATATAAAATTTTATGTATTATCTATATAAAAAAGAACGATTTTTAGCCAATTTTATAGTGACTATGCTGCGCCTCAGGCGCGCGTCACCTGTACTGTATCACACAATAGAATAAACACTTTTTTAC